TAACACAAAACGTAACACAGACAAAAAGTATTAATTTACATGTTAACCCTAAAAAAGCCAAAACTGTAAATAACGTCCACATCTGGATAACTGACCAGTGAATGATTCATCTTTCAGCTCCAAATGCTGAAAACTATTGTTGAAATGATTCTGTTGATCTTTTGTTGAATGAAAGAGTTCAAGCTACCAAGAACAAAGACGCTAACCTTCATATTTGCTGTATGTTCAGCTGACTGCACTGCCGCTGCCTGTTATCTGTGAATGAATGAGTTTTAGGTTTGTTGAGGTTCAAGCGGTGGCTTTGAGATCAAATCGGTTTTGTAGTAAAATGTGTTGTAGGTTGGAGTCAGAGTCCAGCTTCTGCTCTTATGGTGGGTTTCAGTCTTTGTGAGTCTCAGCTGAGACTGAAGGTGTTCCGGCTGATGAACTGGGATCACTCCGGTCTGGACTCTTTGTTCCTGCAGCTCCGCTTCTTCTCACTTTCTTTTGTTTCTCTGTGAGAAGCTGAAACTGGATCTGAGCTTTTCTGCCCACATTCACTAAATCTGCTTTTCCCTCCAAACGTCACAGTTCGCAGCAGCTTCGGCTTCGTCCAGTTTCACACAGACGACGATTTCAACCTGCTGTTCAGCTCTGAATCCTGCACATGGTCCAGACCAGCTGAACCGCAGAACCTCAGTTACACTCTGAGGAAAACACATCTTAGTACAAAGCATTCTAGTTAAACTGTGTCCAGTTCAGATGGTCCCAGGTGACTCAGTGTCGCCCAGAACAACCAGAACCTGAACAGAATGAGCTCAGATCTGCACAAACGACAGAAATGTGTCCAGAAATACAAAGCATGTCCAAAATGTGTCTGAATTTAATCAAAATGAGGCTAAAACAGTTTTTTTCCTACAACGATGGAGTGATTGTAGAAATGAATGGTGTGTCCAGAACAAGTCCGACGGGTCCAAATCTGTCAACAATCACAGGAATGAAACACACAAACGTCTGAGTGAAGCAACACCGGATCAGACGGTTCTGTTGTTCTGTCCGACATGTGCGGGACCTGATGTGGGCTTTGAGTCTCTGTGGTGTTTGTGTTAAAGATAATTAAATGTGTGATGAAGGGATCAGAGTCTCTGTGTTCCTGTTTGTGTTTCCTCTAATCTGACCTGCAGCTATTTACAGCAGGAGACCCAGATTAACAGATTACAGCTGATAATCCAGCACAAACACACACCGCCACTGATGCTGACAACCTGCAGCTTCCTACGTTCACCCACAAACAGCTGCAGACGCGACCAGACGACCAGGAACCAGGAACCAGGAACCAGCTGCTCCTCACACAGCAGAAAGACTTCATCAGAACCAGTCGTCCAGAACTCCTCATGTGAGGCTCCAGCTGTCTGAACAATAAACTGATCAGTGCAGAGCTCTTGTTTTTGTTTCTGTGGACCTGTCCAGATGTTGAAGATCTGATGATTCTTCATGTTTTTTACAGTTATGCTGGTAAATGGTGTCACTTTAGTAATTTTTTAGAAAGAGAACCTCCCGGCAGGTTCTGGGCTTCAGAGGGTTAAAAGACAATTAAATTGTAATTTATGTTTTCTGTGAACACAGTGAAGGCATCTCCAGAGGCTTCAGTCTGACACCTTCCACCTGTTCAACTGAAGAAAAGGCCTGTGAAGAATCACAGGTTCTGGTTCTGTCTGTGCTCCTGTCAGGAGGAACGCTGCTGTTCTCTGAATCTGTTACGTCACCGTGATTAAAACCAAGCATTCAGACCTGAGAAGCTGCGTCTATTTCAGTCGTAAACACACTGAGCTGAGCGACCGACAGTAACCTGAAGAGCTCTGATCCTCAACCAGGAGGAGCTTTGACCCGCCGGGTAACGGTCCAGAACCCCAGAACCCCCGACAGCTGATGAAAACAACCACACAGTAACTGACCACTGAGGAAACACGGGAACGTTTGGATCATCCACAAACTGATCAGTTGTCTCCTGAACTACACTCAAACCCAAACCAAACATGGTTCTCCTCACTGGTGCCACAAAAGAAACATTTTAGCTCCACAAAGAACCATGAAGCAACCTTTTAGGAACCATTCAAGTGTCTTTAAATGATTCTTGATAGAATCATTTGAATGCTTCCTTCAAGAACTGTTGGAAGAACAGAGTTTCCTCAAAGAACCAACCCAGAAGGGTTCCTTCAGGCACCTCAGATGGTTCTTTAGAACAGCAGCTTGTTCCAGTGGTGCTACTGTTTCGGGTTCTGGACTGTTGGTCAGGTGGAACAGCGTGTTCTCGGACGCTGACCTTGTATCTGTGAGGAACGTTTCTGTTTTCTGACGTTTGATCTCCACTGAACATGAAGAACCGTTGAAGAACCCTAACGGCGTTCCTCAGGTGGTGAACCCTTGTGTCTGCGACAGCCAGGTGTAACCAGGTGAGCTCCTACCTTTCTTCCTCCACCAGGGTCCCTCTCTGACCGAGTACGAAACGTTCTTGAACTCAATGTTGACTGCTGGTCGTCGTGGTAACGAGGAGAACCTCTGGGCCTCCGTCAGGCTGTTCTCCACCTTCCTGAGCGGCGCCGGTGGTCCGGCTGACGGCCGCCTGCCAACCACCTCCTCCATACAAACGCACACCGACCGGGGATCCAGCATGAGGTCCGGGGGCCCGTTGGTGTTCTGAGGGGAAAGCAGAGGCCGAGTGAGAACCTGATGGAACATCTGGAACTGAAGCTTCACCAACAGCTGCTGCTCTGGGGTTCTGTCTG